ATCTAAAAAATCTGAACACATTTTAAATTTGATTTTTTTTTTCTTGTTGGAATGTTTGTGCCATAATGATCCACGTGGAGCTGAAAATTCAGAAATCAACCTAACTTTTTTTTTTTCACTTTTTCTGCATTTCCTTTGCTCGCCCCTAGATGGCATCAAACGACTCGCGGCTCCAGCAGCAGCCCTCTCAGAAGGATGCGGCCGACCAGAACTTCGACTACATGTTCAAACTGCTCATCATTGGTAACAGCAGCGTGGGAAAAACCTCCTTTCTATTCCGCTACGCCGACGACTCCTTCACGTCGGCCTTTGTTAGCACCGTGGGCATCGACTTCAAAGTCAAGACTGTCTTTCGAAACGACAAAAGGATCAAGTTGCAGATCTGGGTGAGTTTTTGAATTAGAGTGGTACTCTGGTGATGAACAGTTCATTAAGCGTCCACAGGGGGCGCAGTGGTTTATGCATTGGTCTAATTAGCGTTGGACGGACGTTTTGACGGCCTGGTGTCGGGCCGTGGTTGGACGGCGGTCTGTGAGTGTGAAGAAGGAGACTTCCTGTTCTCACACGTGTCTGTAGCTGCTGCTCTTATCAGATGTTAGACCAGCAGTACGCGCCAGTACGCGCCAGTACGCACCAGTACGCACCAGTACGCACCAGTACGCGCCAGTGCGCACCAGTACGCACCAGTACGCGCCAGTACGCGCCAGTACGCGCCAGTACGCGCCAGTACGCGCCAGTACGCGCCAGTACGCGCCAGTACGCGCCAGTACGCGCCAGTACACACCAGTACACACCAGTACACACCAGTACGCGCCAGTACGAGGAGTACACGGTGACGTGCAGTAGCGTGTACTTCCCAGAAACGCTCCTCGTCTCCACCTCAGGTCCTGTCCCGGTGGTTGAGGGTTTAACTCCCGTCACCTTCACTCTCCCATTACAGCTCTTTAAACAGATGATTCATTTGAACCAACAACCCTGAGCCGACTGTAACACACACACACACACACACACACACACTGTAGTCCCCACCAAAACACACACTGGCCGACCTGAGCAAACATGACTCATGGGAAGAGTTGTTGTTGTGATAAAGTAGAGGAGGAGGACGGTGGACCAGCTACTGACACCAGCTACTGACACCAGCTACTGACACCAGCTACTGACACCAACTACTGACACCAGCTACTGACCACCAGCTACTGACATACTGACACCAGCTACTGACCCAGCTACTGACACCAGCTACTGACCACCACCCACTGAGCCACAGCTGGTTTAGGGTCCAGCCAGGGTCACACCCAGAGAAGTACAAGTGATGGTGAAGTGTCACAGCAGGGGGCGCTAACGAGCAGCTCTGTGAGGTCCACTGATCCTCCAGCCTCCAGCCTGCCCCCTGCTGGGTGTCATGGAAACAACGAGGCAGATAAGACGCCACATGCCCCCCCCCCCCCCCCGTCGGCCGCGGGAAACACTCCTCCTCTGTGGTGGAAACGTAGGTTTTATTTTTATTGGAAGAGCAAACACACACACACACACACACACACATGCAGTGGTGAACTGTACTGTGTGTGTGTGTGTGTGTGTGTGTGTACTGTACATATTATCCCAAGGGATTAAATCCCATGTGTGTGTGTGTTTACACACCAGTGTACAAAAGGTGTGTGTGTGTGTGTGTGTTTGTCACTGCATTGTATTGATCTGAACACAAGTGACGCAGATGGAACGGACCACCAGAACTGGAGCTCTCTCTCTCTCTCTCTCTCTCTCTCTCAGGACCTGGTGCGCGGGGGGGGGGCGGTGGGGGGGGGTGTGCGTGGGG